AACACTCCATGTGATGCTCCCTATTTTATCAAACTGTTCATTGTTTCCTGGTCTAGAACTGTTCAACCTGCTGTGTTTTGCTCCTTATTGAGCAATGTCATGGTACAAGTTTTCCTAAACTTGTTTTTGCTTCTAGGAGACTATTTTTGGACAAGAGATCCTATAAGTGGTTATGACAAAGCTGCTGACTTTGTGGTTTTTTTAGTATTAGAAACTTAATTTATCAACTAGAGTTGAAGCCATTTTAATGATTAATGTTTGTGATTACTAATATCTTTCCAGTACATGATATAACTTTTAAAACCATAAATTCAATTTTAAGTATATAGTTCACATAGAGATAAAACAACATTTATTACAAAATTCATCTGTCATTAAAATTAGTTATATATTAACAGCTCTGGATATTACTAGTCCAAAATAGCTTGAAATTATCCATAAACTTCAAAATTCTAACTTTCAAAAACAATATTCAGCACGTCCTCACCAAATTCAATTATATCTCACTCATAATTTTTTTTAAAAGTGCTGAGTAACTGTCTTATTGGAAAGCAAATCTTTTGGAATATTCCAAAATGTGTAAGAGGGTAGACATTAAGAACTTCTTAACTTCACTTCTAACAGCAGTGAAACAACAACAAAAACTGAACTGCTTCAAAGTGGATAGAAGATTATTTTAATAATGTATTGTACAAATCCACAGTTAAAAGAAATGGCTAACAATTAGACTATGGACTTTAGAAGTTTGTAGAACATTATCTTCACATGCATTTTCCTGAAAGCTTTTTTCTTTCCCCACATAGTTTAATAAGAAGCTTACTGCATTAGTCATTAATATGTACAGGTAACTCATATATTAGTTTATATTTTTGGATTAATTTATGCCTAACAAATATATATAGCTTTTACTGTTTGACTATGCTGTGAGGGAAAGAAAGAATATTTCATTTTTCACTTGCTAAAATGAGTAGAGCTATATCTGCCTGATAGCTCTCCCCACTGGTGAGTTCACAGTGTCCTTGTATCTTAACAACTCTTCTCTGTAGTGAGTTTTATGTGCTTATAATTTATTCAGAACACTTGAAATGCTGTTTCTTTTAAAAATCAGGTCACTGGGGAACAGTGAAATCAGACAAGGCATTAAAACAAATTTAATGAAACTTTCATCAAATGAAACTGGCAGGACACAAGGCTTTGCAGCAGGAATAGTAGTTCAAACTGCTTATTAAGATAAACTCCTGCTGAGCATTTTACCTCTTATGCTGGTGTCTGTGTCCCCTACTGTCTTGTTTTTGTTAGGTACTTTTAACACATTCTGTACTGCCTGACAAAAAGAAAAAAGGGGCCAATCCAAATAATAAAAATACTTTTAAAAAATAATAAATTGCAGGTAGCTGTCTTTTTGTTTAAATAAAAACACCTGGTACCGTCGTCTAAGGCTTTCAAAGTTGTTCCAAACAAGCAAGAATAGGAAGCAGTGTTCTGCACACACAATGGGTGCTCAGCGCAGATCAGCATCTAACATACACAACAGGACACTTAATAGTCTCTTTGGGGCCATGTTTTCTTTTACAATGACAGAATTATAAACGTGGGGGTCATGACTCGACCCACAGAGAACTGAACCCACAGGGTTGGAAAACACTGTATGAAGAATATACATTAGAAAATATATTCTTACACCAACATCAGGATTAGACCCCTTTGGACTGATTTTCAATTTTACTGGCCAGTCAACAAGGGCACATTCACCAGAGACCTGGTCCATGGCTGGCCCAAGGACCTGTTTCATCCTTCTTATGCTGCTTTTATTCTGCTGCTGCCACCACCACCACCCCACCATCCCTCCATCAGGACCTTTTTTGGGGGTAGCAGCCAGTCTTCTTCCCTCATTCCCTTCCATAACTGCCAAAAGAGAGGTTATTGATTTAGCACTTCTGAATGGTTGCTGTCTCTTCACTGGACTAGAACATGTCCTTCTAAGACACAGAGGACTGAGGTGGTGAGAGTAGGAGAGAACTATACTACACTCACAAGAATGTTGAACAAACATATTTTTTAATATGTCCCATAGATTTATGAATTCATCTACCTGTAGACCTGGCATGCTCAGTTACAAAGATGATCTTTGCATTACCCTGACCCCACAAGACTATCTTTGAGGAAATGTCATAATCAGGATTAGTGTATCCACCAAAACATACTTTTTAGGCACTGTGAATTGATGCAGAAGTACTAATATTATTATAAATAATACTAATTTTGTTATTAATAATAACAATAGTAATAGTGACTAACATTTATGGAACTTATGTGTTTTACATGAATTTTCTCCTATAATCCTCACAAAAACCCAATGATTGTTATCCCCATTTGTTAGACAGGAAATTGAGGCTTATGAAGGTTAATTTCCTAAGGTTTTAAATATTAATTATGGGATATGAAAACCATGTGTAAGGTTTTTCTAAGCTAATATTATGGGTTTCTGAGCAAAAGTTGTATGGAAGTTGGGTCTGGACCTATTAATTCAGCACTTCTCAGTGAAACATTAACAAATCTGGTATCAAGTAAGTTTGGGGAATGCTGCACACCATGCCTCTTCTTGGAGACTTGTAATATACATTAGCATATTAATGACTTTGAGAAGTTTTGTCAAAAAAAAAAAACTTGTTTGTTTTGCTGAGCATTTTCCAAGGCTGGGAAAACAGTGTAAGGCCTCCAGACACAGTTTGACCCCATAAATCTTTTATCAAAATTGAATAAATGAGCCTAATTTTGTGGCTGACATATTTGCTTAAATTTTGAACTAAGACATCTTAAAGAATATGGAGATGATGTGGACAGCAGATATTGAATTCCCATCCACTTCTCTTCACTCTGTGAGTCGGAATCCACTCAACAGCAATGGGTTCGGTTTTTTTTTTGGGTTCTCTTCACTCGCAGAAAACTTCTTTTACATACCAGAGATTCCTTCCTAAACACTGAGGAGCTGGAACATGAAATGACCCATAGTTTTTTGCCACTGCTGGGATGTCATCATAAAGTGTATATTATTGAAAGTAAATCAGAAGTGACATTTTCCTGCATTTTCTATTTAGTTTGAACAATATACTTAACATAGTGAAATCTCATTTTCTTTGTTCCCATGACAAAAAACAAGTTAATATTACTTATTTGTATATTTTGTATACCCAGCTTCCGAGAAGGATCTGAAGTAACAAATAAAATCCATTTTAACACCCTACCAATTTCCCTGTTATATATTTGTTGGTGCTTTTCATATGAATTGGAAAGAATTTTTTAATAATAGGGACAATAATCTGTTGTCTCTTAAATTAGTTAAATTAAATTTAAATTAAATGCTTAGGAATTTCTGTTCTTATATAATGGAGTCAGCATACCTATCTTCATTTTCTTTCATTTTCATTTGGCTTTGACAGGCGTGCCTCACTGTTTCTTCATACATATTTTGATTAGTCCATGCTGATTTTCTATTGGCATGAAGTTTTGCAAGATCATTTCGAAGTCTTTCATTCTCATACTCCAGTTTGTTAATAGATGTATACCTTGAATGTTCCTTGTTAGTGAGGGCCATACTCTAGGGAAGAAAAAAAAGTATCGTTGAATAAATTGTTACTTATAAGTTATGAATATTTTCTATGCATTCAGACAAGTGTGGCGGAAAGGCCCTTTCATTTAAGCCAAGTGATGTGGCTCTACTCTTGCATACCTCCCAAAGACTCCTTCCCACCCCTCTCAGCTCCTCACAACAGACACTCAGTGATAGCTGCCACTGAACACATTTGCAATAAAAGCAAATATGCCCACGCTCCAGTACAGAAAAGATGAACTCTATGCATTATTGTTCTATGTATCTAGAACAAAAATGGCTAGATTTAAAGTGTTTTATGTTTCTAGGTTATACCATGTAGTGCTGACTAAGAACCCGAAGTGACATATATCACAATCTTAAAAGAGTATATATTTTTTCTGATCAAAATAATACACATCATTATGGAAAAGTATTCAGAACAAAATAAATATTCCTATACTACCACAACTCAGGGATAACTGCATTAACATTTGTATTTATATCTTTCTAATCTTTTTTCTATCAGTATAATTATCAATAGAAAATACAATATAATCAACACAAAACATAACATATGGATACATACAAAATTGTAAACATATTACAAAATTGTAATGTACAAAACTGCACATAAAGTTTTGGAAACTTTTGTCCTTGAATATTATATTGTCTAATGACTGAATTGTAGACAGATACACAAATTTATTTAATCATTTTTCTACTATTAAATATTTAGTTTGTTTTCAAAATGATCTGTGTTGATATCCTTATACACAAATCATGCCCTGTATTTCTGATGATTTCTTCAGATAGATTGTTTTCATAATGATCTGTGTTGATTTCCTTATAAACAAATCATGCCCTGTATTTCTGATGATTTCTTTAGACAGATTCCAAGGAGTGGGACCACTGGGTTAAACTGTATGAATGTTTTCGAGGACTTTGATAAAAAATGCCAATTTTTTTTCCCATGAAGGTTGTACCAATCTCATAAATTCCTCCACTAATGTATGAAAGTGCCTAGCTATCATACTCATCTATCATATCATTTAATATTACCATTTTGTTAAATTTTCTAAATTGATAGATAAAATATTAACTTTTATTTAAGTATTAGTGAAGTTAAATATATTTCTATGTTTCCTGGCAATTTTTAATCCCTGTTTTGTCAATTGTCTATTTGGGTCCTTTGTTTACTTTTTCATTAGGGTGTTTGTGCTTTTCATACAAATTTGAAAGAATTTTTTAATAATAGGGATAATAATCTGCAACAATGGGCTCAAACGTGGCAACAATTGTGAGGATGGTGCAGGACTGGGCAGTGTTTCGTTCTGTCGTACATAGGGTCACTATGAGTCAGAACCGACTCGATGGCACTTAACAACAACTAACAATCTGTTGTCTCTTAAATTAGTTCAAAATGTCTTCCATTTTCCATGTTTAAGTTTTAATTTTAGTGTGTGGTGTGTGGAGTTAAAAAAAAAAAAGTTATTTAGTGAAATCTATTAGTCTTTTCCTTTGTTCTTTGCTTTTATATTTCAGTTTTCTTTCCATTCTAAAAGGTAATATTCACTTATATTTTCTTCTATTTGTTTTACAACTTCTTTATTTTTACATTTAATTCTTTAGTTTATTTGGAATTAATTGTGGTATAAAATGCTAGAAGAGACTAAAATTTAATAATTAATGTTCCAACATCCATATTGATTAAAATACCCATTCCCTGATGTGGGATGATGCAACAAATTATACACTAAATTCATATAGACTGGAGTCTAACTCTGGATCATTCTATACTATTGATCTTACAGTTGAAATTGTGCCAGTACGACACAGTTTTGACCAATGTAGCTTCATAGTAACGTTTTCCTATCTGGTAGGGGCCACCCAATTTTAACGTCCTCAGAGCAGAATATGAAACATGTTTAAATCACAAAATGAGAGGTTTAGAGCAAGAATAAAGATTTCCATGCTGTTTTAATTAAATGTTGGAAGAAGTTACCTAGGGACAGTCTAAATTTTCTTCTTACAAAGTTTTAAAAAGTAGGATATATTCTCACATGCAAACTCATGAAAATACTTTAAATGACTCTACATAGTCCTTTCTAGTCCTGATTTGAATATCCAGGCGTTGTGTAGCTGCTGATTAAACAACAGTACTCTGCTTTCAGAAGGGTAATATTTTAGCACAAGAAGCATAACATGAATAAAATATCTCTTTTGAAGCTCCAAATTTCTATGGCACAAGGCCCATAAGACTATAAATGATTATAGCTTAGTATGTTCTTTTTGAAGTTCCTAAATTTAAAGCTATGAGTGCCATTTGATAAGCTATGGCTGGCATCCCATAAAATCATTTAAGATTTTTTTACTAATTATACATTTTTAACTATTCATACACTATCATATTAGTAGCAAAGGTGATAAATAAATATAGAACTATGTACACAATAGGTATTAAAAATGCTTATTTGTTTTATTTTTTGCTCCAAGGCCAAACCTGCCTACTACATTTTCTGTTAACTGCCTAACGCATTATAGACATTTGGTAAATATTTAGAAAGATTTCATTTGTGAATGGAAAGAAAATGCCCCAGGAGGGCAATCTTTTCCAGTATGCTTCTATGTCTATTAAACTAGGTACCCTTTGGAAAAGAAGGGCCATTGAAGGAATTTCTCTGCTTGTTAGGCCCTTGACTTGAGAATTTCTCAATATTTATTCATTGGAGATACACCAGTGCAGATAAAAATGCAATCTGTAGTCTTCTGCTTAAAAAAAGAAGATTTTTAATGCTAAAATTAGAGTAGATTTATGATAAATATAAAGGAGGCAGAGTCTTATAAAATTTTGCCTTTCATTAAAAAAAAAATCCAGGAGGTGGGGCCAAGATAGCAGAGTAGTCAGATGCTTCCAGTGGTCCCTCTTAGAACAAAGACCTGAAAAACAAGTGAATTGATTATATATGACAATCTAGGAGCCCTGAACATCAAAGGCAAAGTTGAGGAATTGGACTGAGTG